TTTCCAAATGTGGTTCAATTTCCTCAGCAGGACAGGTTCTGTTAACTGCTATTTTTAAGGGCAATAACAACGTCAAAGCTCTGGATGATTAAAGCAATTAAAGTTTCCCTTTGTTTCCTAAGCGCAGCCAGATATGGGGCTGCCTGTTTGTACAGCATGTATTAAACATTTACTAAATGGAATTGAATCTGTCATCGATGAAGTTTTCCGGGACAATTACCTTTTAGCACAGCAAACAGTGTTTCACTCAGCTAACGCCTCGCAGCTCACGCCTGTGATTAGACATTTGATTCCATCAAGCCAAACTAAAATCCTCCAGCAGAGAGACAGAGAGAGAGAGAGGTTTAAATATAATTTCACCATCAGAATTTCTCAATTAGCATACCACATTTTCTCCATTAGATAAACTGCCTTTAGAGAGCTGGCTGGTTTAATCTGTTTAATGTCCGTGTAAACTATAATCTCCCGATTCTAAAAAGAAATCCCTTAAGGACATAATTCGTATCCGCTCTTCATAAGGCGTTTTCCCCTTTTCTTTCTCAAAGACACGATGGAGTGCGCCGTCTGAAGAGGGATTGAGCGGTGGCGCCGTTTGTTTTGCCCGTCGTGCTTTCCTCGTTTAGCTGATCCTCAATCATTAGACTTTAACAAGCGCGTCCTTGCTCGGCCGCCGCCAGGACGCACAGGAGGCTGCAGATGCATTTCACATCGTTCCAAACTGTACGTATGCACTCGCGTCTCAAGCACGGCGATCCCACCAGCGCCATGGCAACGGCCATACGTCGCATCAAGCCGCTCCCCTCGAAAGATGCAAGTGGCCGTTCCCTGAAAGATGATGACGAAGAGGCCGCGCGACCCGCTACCCGAGTCAAGCTGTGCTCTGCGAGTGGGCCAGACGTCGTTGCGGCGGCGTGGACGCGCGCGTCGCCGCCAATCATCGCGGCGCCTCGGCTGTTAGTGTTCATGGCCAGAGAAATCAGGATTCCTTGTTATCCCATTGAGCGGCGGGCAGAGTGTTTACATGCGTGTCATTGGCTCCCATCATACACTGCGGGCTGTGTGAATCGGGGCCCGCTGACGCGGCCTCATTCTCCTCGCATCACGCCGAGAGTCACTCCATTGATTACCCCTCCCCTGCTCCCAGGAAATGGCTCATGCATCTCGTGTACATTATAACAAATGTTCTCTTTGCATCACAATTGAATTGTGATTGTTATGTTCAATCAATGGGGAAAGGTCACGGGATCGCTCCTGCCAGCGCTTTAATGGAGAAGTCGATGAGGATTCATTTTAATCACTACGGCTGTGGCAGAATGAGCACAACACCCCGAGACTGTCAATGGCCCGGTAATTACCGCTGTTTATACAGGTTTCTGCTTTGGCAATTTAGATATCCACAAATCTCTGTGTCTCCTGCAGCCCGCTTGCATCGGAGGCTGCGCGGCATCAAATGGAGTGCTGCAGGACGCGGGCCGCGACCGCTCTAATTGCGGCCGAGGCCGGCCCTTTTGGAGAGCGAGTGAACTCCGTTTGCTCCTCCTTTGAGGAGTCACACTACCAGAGAGCCGTTATTTGGGATACTTTGTGCGAAGGAGCATTGCGTCCGCTCAGCCGAGCCCGAGGCCTTGCGTGCCTGTGACAGTTGCGTCGAGAGGAGGAAGATTAAATCAGCGGCGTTTACGCTGCGCGTCCGTCTCGGTTAGCTCCGGCTGCTGGTGCTCAACGTGGCTTCGCTCCGGAAGAAGTTGTGAATCAGCACCAGTCGACGACGTCAAAGATACACTTGGTGGAGATATATTTTGACATGATTCTCACATTCTCATTAAATGTGGACTCTCTTCTTTCGCTGACTTTTCTCGGTTGTCGGCTTGTTGTTTTAAATAATCAAATTGACTTTTACTTTATAATTAACACTTTGACCAAAGTTGAAGGTAGACGGTGATTTTGGGGTAATGAAACTTGTGAGATACCAAAGAGATTCTATTTGCAATGACATTAAAAAACGGGAAAAACAGCAATCTGATTAGGAGGGAACCGACTCATCAACGTACTTGCTTATTCAGATCATTCGTTTCCACTTAAATACATCTTTTCTATATTATGAATTGTGGTTCTGTTCAAAAGAGTCAATGAGTACGTAGCGTGGGAGAAGCCTTTAAACTGTTATTTGCCATTATGAAAGAGTGTGGAGGATTATCACCCCCCCCCCCCCCCTCCTCCCCTCCCTCACCCTAAACTGGCATGTTTGTGTTGGATGGGTGGCTAAGGATAGATGGGGTCAAGGCAGCGTAACCTTGGAGAAACAAATATTCATGATCAATAAGTGCTTATCCAAGCATCTAAATGATTCTTATGTCTGCTGAACCCCCCCCCATCTCATCCCCCTACACACACACACACACACACACACACACACACACACACACACACACACACACACACACGCACACGCACACTTGCCCATGCGAAGACGCAGTTTGAAGATTTATGCCGACGAGGTAAAAGGACATTTTAAAAGACTACACAGTATCACTGCTTGCAAATGTCATGTGATGGTGGGTGAGGGGGGGCCGGCCTGCACAGCCACGATGTTACAGATAATGAATTGCCTCTGAAATATAATACATCGCCGGTATGATTCTTTGTTCCTGGCTCTGTACACCAACTCGCTTCAATTAAAGTTATTTATCTTTCTTGTTTTTTAAGTTCATCAATTATATTGTGATACACTTAATGTCCATAAGAGGATGATGTATGATTGGTCTAATTATTTCTTATTCACTGTGCTTTCTAAAGCATATCAATTTTGTTAATACCATGTAATTAAAACACGTCAGTGCGCCACAAGTTGCCGGCTGTATTAATGACTATGAAAATTATTTTAATTAAATAGCCAATTATAGAAAAATCCTAACCATGAGAATTGACATTTAAATGAATTCAATTTAAATTGCTTTTCAACATTGTTTTATCAAAGCTTTATGGGGTGAATAAATTATGACATCAAACAATATAGCGTGTCATTGATCACACACAAGTCTTGTCCCATATCCATACATTTTGAAACACTTTCCTGATGCCGTTCATCACGCCGGGTGATTACGTTTTGACACGGCCATTTGTTTACCGCCATCTCCTCCTCGTGTACTGTACTTCTGTGCACTTTTAGCTGAACTCTGTTAACTCTTTGTGTTCCTGAGGGCTGGAAACTTTGTGCGCGATGAAAATACAAAGATGTGCCGTTGTCGTCACGAGTAATAACCTGTCGCAGTGAGCCGTTGCCTTGAAGGCTCCCGTACTCGCTTTTTACCACTAGCAGTGATTGTGTGTGTGTGCATTCTAACAACAACGCGCACAGACTTTTTTGTGTTTCTGTGTTTTCACAAGCAGGGTCAGAACACATGCAGCCCACCCTGTCTGTTGAAAGGCTGCTTGTATCTGAAACATCACACATATCCTGTGGTGCCTTTTAATACCTCTAATAACTCCTTTTTCCCTTTTTTTTTTTTTTGCACGCAAAATGTTAATGAAAGTCATTTTTCAGACATTACAGGCCCAATGATTTGCAGTTAACCCACGCAAACAAGAGCAATAGTGGGCAAACTGTTGTGACATTCATTGTATATAATGAAATCTTAATATGGTGCATATTTAAGTGAAAGGTTAGCAACATAAAGGGCAAATGGATTGCCTGGCAATGAATTTTAAGCAGCTATTGATTTTACACTACGGGCTACCTCTTTCCCTGAATGATAATTTTCAAAACGGCACACTGCTTATCTTAAAGCTGATCCGACACAACAGGACAACAGCAATATACTGAATATTAAGGCCAACGCGCAGTGAGATGATCAGCCTTCCTGGTGTTATTACATGAACCTGAATGCACCGTGCAAAATTCAGCTTCTGCAAATACTGCTAATAGACAACTTTTGAAAAAAAAAAAAAAAGCAAGGCCAGAGTGCAACTTGTTATTTTGAAATGTAATGCTATCTGTTGAGTGCTGCCGAAGGATAAAGCCTTGGCAGCTTTGGCTCAAAACCATTTTCTAACATAACTTTGATACCTCTCAACTCTAAACAAGGATTCAGCAGAGCAGATTCAAATCTAGCCTTATTCCTGCTTCATGGGTAGTACTTCTTATATCTAATGTATCGTCTCATATTTCTCTGTGAGATGTGAACGCTGGAAACAGAAAACTGTTGTACAGCCACAGATTGATCTTAGGGAAACCTTTAGTGTGTCACAGGCGTGAGCTCTCACTGTACACAGACGCGACACAAGCGCTGCACCTCCTCCCTCCCCGCCGCCGTCCTTCTTCTCAGACTGAGCGGAGCTTTGAGGCTTAAAGCACTCGGCACCGTTCAACCCGTTGTGTCCAGAGGCCGTGCACAATGTGTACCGAGTAGAAAGTTGGCTTTGCCAAGAAGAAGAAAAAAGGGAACAGTTAGCAACGTTGCGGTTTCCGTATTCAAATGTGTGTTTTATTAGTAGGTTTTAACTGTATTAGACTGCGTTCTCACGCCTCCTCAGTCTTAAATGTAATAGGCTCTGGCAATATGAAGGGCTATGGTTACAGTTCATTTGAGTTTCTTAAGCATTTTAACAAACGATGACAACAGTGACGTTTTAATCAGGTGTAATTCTTACATATTAACACCACTGTTATCATGGCTGTTGCACTTGAAATGGAAAAAACAAAATAGGAAACAAATTCTGACATGAAAGCGCTGCACAAGGCGATATGTTAACAATTTAGTTAGTCATTTTACTTTTAGGTCCACACACTGTCAGGTACAAACCACACATTGCCTCATGTGTCATGCTGTTACTTTAAAGTTGTGCAAATACAATAATCCTAAAGGCCCAATTCAATTACATGCTGTCCTCTCACACAGATGGTGTGTCCCTTGAACTGTGACTCACGCTCGCACACTCCATCACAACACAGGACAAGGAAGTCCACGAGGAAAAGGGGGGGGGGGGGGGGCACCGCAGTAACACGACGTTTAGGACACATTAAATGCCGTGAGACAGGACCGATCGTCGCCCCCCCGGGTCACCGAGGTCACCGCGGCGCGGCGCGTTTGGTGCCGTTCGACAGCAGGTGGAACCTGCGGGGCTGAACCAGGAGCGACTGGATCTTCCGCACGGAGTCGGTTCCCGATCGTGGTCACAACAACGACAACAACAACAACAACAACAACGACGACAACAACGACAACCACGCCGAACCGTCTGATCGCAGCGGATTTGTTTGTGCGCGCATCGGGGAACCCGGAGCGGCTCGCCCGAGCTGCTGTTCAGAGGCGCGCGCGGTCCCCTGGCTCCGCCCCCTGCGCGCCGCGTGACAACAACAACTCATCCACACAGCCGAGCCGCACTTTCCAGCTCATTTTCCTGCTGTCATTCGTCCTCCTATCTCTGATCATTGTCCCGCCGCTCGCCTACCACCCTCCCCCCCATCTCCCCGACACCCCCCCCCCCCCCGAACGCGCTCACTCAGCACGCCTCGTTTCGGCAGCTCCTTTTGACTTGGTAACTTCTCCGAGGAGCCAAAACTCTGGTGGATTCTTTCTTTGAGCGGCGTCTCGGCAGCAGCCTGGGTTTTTCCTCCTCTGAACTTCGGCTACCCCCCCCCTCCCCCCCTGCACCGCGCGCTGCCCCCCTCCTGTAGGTGACCATGGCCGTGCCGGCTGCTCTGATCCCACCAACTCCTCTGGTCGCGCCGCCTCCGATCTCGACTGCGTCCATGACGGCGTCCCCGCCGACGACCTCTTCGTCGCCGTCTCCATCTCTGGCGCCGCCGCCGTCCGCGCCCGGGCAGAGCCTGTTCAGATCGGAGCTCCTCGCCACCGGCAGCCCGGGCGTCCCCAACGCGGCGCTGCCGCCCGGCAAACCCGTGTACTCGACCCCGTCGCCCGTCGAGAACATACCGCAGAACAACGAGTGCAAGATGGTCGAGTTGCGCGGCGCCAAAGTGGCCTCGTTCACCGTGGACGGCTGCGAGCTCATCTGCCTGCCGCAGGCGTTCGACCTGTTCCTGAAGCACCTGGTCGGCGGGCTGCACACCGTCTACACCAAGCTGAAGCGGCTGGAGATCACGCCGGTGGTGTGCAACGTGGAGCAGGTCCGCATCCTCCGCGGGCTCGGCGCCATCCAGCCCGGCGTGAACCGCTGCAAGCTCATCTCCAGGAAGGACTTCGAGACGCTGTACAACGACTGCACCAACGCGAGGTGAGGGATTCACGCCCGTCTGTCCTTCTTCGGGCTTGGACGGCTCCGCGAACGCGCCGCGCGTAAAGGCGGCGGACGCGCTGGGTTTGGTTAAAACGAAACAAAAAAAAGAACAAGTGGATCAAGCGATGGAATGAAATTGTCCCTCGCAGTTGATTAACTTAATTTATCTGTTGTGTTACTGTGTGTGTGTGTGTGTGCGCGCGCGGGTCTGCTGAAATGTGCTCGCGGGGGCCCGTTTGGAGGCCGCAGCGCGCCGTCGGGGAGGAAGTTTGTAGAAAGTTTTCCTTTAACGCGTGCGGGGCAAAGCTTGTGCCACGATGGATCGGCTGCGTGCACGCGGGTCGATAATGTAACCTGCGCGAGGGATCAGAAAGTTCAAGAAGTGGAGACCCCCCTCCCTCCACCCCATCAAGGCGGTGTCATCTTTTAGGAGCCTCACTTTACTGTAATTCGTCCTAAATTAAGTAAACTTTTAAACACCTCAAATACCTCCGGATGAGAATTAGATAATTCATTTATTTATTCTGGCGTTTACCTTCCAAGTTAGAATTTTACTAATAAACAAGGCAAACACACAATAACAATTATGTCTCATTAGTGTATTAATTGTTTTCTCAGTATTGACAACCAGCAATTTTACACTCACGACCCAGTTTTTTTCTCTGTAAATGCTAGTTATAATTCACACACACACACACACACACACACACACACACACACACACACACACACACACACACACACACACACACACGATCACATTAGAACGGGCTGTTCAGCAAACATCCTTGATTTGAATTAAGCAAGGAGGTTCCTACACATTTAAGCATATGTATGGAAATTAATGCATTACCCAAATCAAATATTTTGAGGTGTATACGCTTTAAAATGGGGATGATTTAAAGTGAGGATCAATATTTGATTAAAAGCCATTTTTTACCGTCCTGTTGCTCGTGGCTTTGATGCATCGCTCAGTCTCGCAGGATGGTTCAGCCTGGTCAAATTTACCATCTTACCTGTCACTATGATTGATTCCTTATTGATCCGCTACCCAGAAATGAGCTGGAAATGCAAATATGATGGAAAGGCTCACTTGAGTGGGGAATAGCAAATAAACACTTTGAGTCACTTTGGTTATCTCGGCTTCTGAGATTCTTTGGGCCTTTTTGAAAAAAGAAAAAAATATATACATATATTAATACAAACATAGAAAAATAAATAAAACATTAAACAGAATTATGACTTGTTGGTTGCACGCTTAGTATCACAATGTGCAAAACAATTAAAAACACGTGCACACAGAGACCATTTTGTGCCTCAATATGCACGCTGATGCTGGACACATTTTGAACCTGAACTGTGAACTGATCCCACTGAGATCTTTTTGTCAATTCTTAAGCCGTCTGTGCAGTGAATGTGTTTCTCTCTTTAATAGCCTGCGTTTTATTTCCTCTCTGTGCCGGCATCATCACACCAGCTTCTAAACACTCTCCAGCCCCACGTTCCCGTCGCTGTCGTAATCGTCTCAACAGCTCACCTGTGCACCTCGGCGCTCTGGCGTCATTTACATAAAGCATCCAGGGAGCAGCCCCCCCCCCCCTCTGTAGAGGAAAAACACACCGTGCAGCGATCCTCTCCTCCAGCCTGGCATGGGGACGGGGGTGGGTGGGGGGGGGGGCCTTCGGGTGACAAAGTGCGTGGTTGAACTCTCCGGGTTGTCAATGGGGAGGGGGGGGATGGCCGGCGACGGGGTTAAAGGATAATGCAGTGCCTCGCGTGGCTTTAATGACGCTAAAGTGGTGGGCTATTACGGGCACACGGACGGGCCCGTAATTGTCTCTGAAAGCAGCCAGGTACTCGCAGCCGGGCTGGAATCAATCACTCAGGCCCGGCCTGCCTGCCCCATTTGGAGAATTACATCACCGAGCGGCGGGGCATCCGCCGGATGAAAGGCTTCTGTTACTTAGAAAAGAGTTGATTTTATTTGCATTGTGCGTGTGTGTGCGTGTGTGTGTGTGTGTGTGTGTGTGAGGGGTGGAGCTTTACGCCGCCTGTCATTGAAATGGCTGTCGACTGAAATGATCAGCCGGAGTAAACAGGACACGTGTTGCCCTGCAGGTGAAAACCTGCCCCCCCTCCTCCAGAGACGTTTTGCACCAACTTACTGTCAGGTCAACCCGCTCCGGTTACACAACAACGCCGACTCAGTCCGGCTTTTGCATCGACACAATGTCACTGCTCTTATTACACCGAGGCGCCGTGGCGACGAAACCTCCTCTGCAAAGGCTCCTATTATTTCACATGCGGCCTTTTATTTAGTTTTGGCCCCCTCGCTCTCTATTGTGTTAAAACAACACTAGTTCTGCGCACAGCGAGACTGTGAATGGCATCACGGTGCACCAGCTAATTGTTCCGCGCCCTTGCTTACTTTAGCAGAACTCTTTTTCCACGCACGGTGACCAGAAATGCCCCCTTTTCCCCTCCAAGTGTCCTTATTGTGGTGATGGATTAAACATTGTGCTTGTCAGTGAGTGTGTCGCGCTCTGTGTCCTGATACGCTGGACGCTATGTTAGCAATCATTATTCATCTGTGAGCAGACGAGGGATCCAGTCGCTTTTGACCCCTTCATTTTCCTAAGGACTCTCGTGCCAGATTAGTGGTGTTGGCTCTTTGCTCCCAGACTGATCCCAGGGTCAGTAATCTCCCCTACATTAAGACCCCAACCCTCCAGGAGCCCTCCAGGAGCCTTCTTGTTTTCCTTTTCGTTCTGCCCGTGGTGGGATGGAAAAGGTTCTTATTGCAGCGTGACACTTGAACTCTCTGAAAGGTTATTACAACACTGGCTTGGATCGGGGGGGGGGGGGGGGGGGGGGGGGGGGGTTTCAAAAAAAAGGAAATATTCTAATTGGTCTCGTGGGGGGGGGGGGAGATACCCGCGCGCGGGGGCGAGAAAACCCCCCGTAAATTAAAAAAATTTGTCTCCCCTTGAGAGTAACACCCCCCCCCCCAAAAAGTGCCCCCCCCTGGGAGAAAGGAGAGGGCTTTTTCACTTACATGCCCTTCTTAAATAGATTTTTTTTTTTTTTTTTCCTCCCCGGCTCGTTTCAGTCGAGCAAATCTCCCTCTGAAATGTTCCCGGTGTGACAGGTCACAGCGGCGCCGCTTCCCCTTTAACGGATATATATTTAATTGATGGCGATATGGCAGTGGGCGCCACGAGAGCCGCCACCTCGCCTGTTCCTATTTCAAGAGTGTTTATGCCTAAACACACATATTTGCAAATGACGGTAATTGTTTTGTTTAGCGCTCTGTGTGAGCTGCCACCGAGGGTGCCAGCTTGTCTCTCTCCCTCCTCTCCGCCGCCGCCGCGCTCTCTTCTAATATATTTGTTTTCTACAAGGCACGGATGTGTTTACAGGTACTCAGGGGAGATTTCTGGATTCCATTCAAATCGTTCCCAGTCAGAGTGGGTGCTAAGATACCCGTCACCCAGCAACCGCATCCAAGAGGGAGCTCGGGCGATAATAACTTCAAAAACAGAGTGACAGATGCCTGATTAGAGAGAGAGAGGGAGAGAGGGAGGGAGGGGAGGGTTTACAAAGCGGTTTAAAATCCAAATCTATTCAAGTACTTCCTTGAAAGTCAAATTGGCCCTCATATTGTGTGTTGTTTCTTTATTGAAGGGGGAAAAAAGCATTTTAAGTTCCTTTCTCTTTTTTTTTTTGCGTTTTTAATCCTTCAGCGGGGCTCTGCTAGATTTGATTAGGTACAGTACATGTGCTCAAGTCAACTGTGCAGTTGGCAGATGGCAGCAAGGTGTTTTTTTTCTTTGTAAACAAATAGTCTCCTTGAAAATCCGAATTGCTTTATTGACTCAACATCCGTTCAGCTGGAACGAGTGCAAATTAAAACTTTTTATTGAATTTTCTTTACCAAAAAAAAAAAAGAAATCCAGGGGCGAGCTCTGCTTAAGGAAAGTATCGTTCATTTTCTCCCTTTCTGTTTTTAATAGCCGAGCCAGGACTCGTTAGAGCGGCTTTGTTTGACACTGTCTAATGTGCTTTGTGGATTTAGAGGCTGTTTGCATGGCAAAGAGGCCCCAACTGTTAATTTGCCCGTTGGATGCATTAGTTGCCCGGACTGCCGTCTTATTTGCATTCCTTCACTGGATCGGCAGCAGCGATGGAAGTACCAATTAATAACCCCTCCCCCACCCCACGTCAGGTCCGCTCACCCGCCATAAAGGGGCATTAGCTTTGTTTAAAATCAAACCGACAATGGGACTGTGTTGGTTAACCAGGTGGTTTTACTCTCGAGGCTGATTGGCTGACGGGCCGGCAGCAGATTGGGGTCGCTCTGATCGCCGCTCTCTTCCTCCCCGGCTGCTCCCTGCTCCCCGGCTGGTCCCTGCTCCCCGGCTCCTTCGCATTACGGCGCATTTAGGGCGCGCGGAGGAAGTCACCGGCGCTCCTACCAGGATATTAAATGCTACTGACAGAAGTTAGAGGGAGCAGATGAGATTTTCTGATTGGGGAAGGAATGCCTGGCTCTGTCTAATATGGTCACATAGAGAAATTGATTTTCCTCAGAAATTAATTAATTTTTCATATAGCCCAAAGCTGGAGTTTAAAAAAGAGTGCACACTTGCTGGTTTCCTATTCCTCCCCCCCTTCTTTTTTAAAGAATTATTGCCTAATCATATTAATACTTTTGCCCCAAGGACGAAAAGATAATTGTACGAATGCATTTGGAAATATGTATCACTGAGTATTTATGATTAAATTATGCAAATAACTCGGCTCTCATCCATCGCGGGCCCAGATTGTCTAATTAGGATTGATATGGCGAATAGATGTTGGGGAATCTGAATACAAGCATGTCCAAAGAGCAGAAAATTGAAAATGACAAGGCTGGAATCCTTAAAAAGTGTGTCGTTTTTTTCCCCCCCTCTCTCTGTCTAATTCAGCGTGGCCGTATCAGGAGTTAATTTGCCCCG